GTTTTTATTCACAGGGTGGGCAGAACAGCGAGAGCAGGGAAGGCTGGGTCGGCATTCACCTTCCTTTTAGAAGTGCAGGTCAGATTTTCATCATTGATTGATTTAGTTGTGTGTGCGAGTTGTTCCAGTCAATTAGCATTTAGTCCATTTTATTCAGTAGGCATTTATTATGGGCAAAAACCAATTTGTGAAATCATTTTGAGTGACTGATTGGTTGAGATACACCATATGTGACCCTGGAGCACAAAAGCAGTCTTAAGTAGCTGGGGTATATTTGTAGCAATAGCCAAAAAAACATTGTATGGGTCAAAATTATCGTATATACCAAAAATCATTCGGATATTAAGTTAAGATCATGTGCCATGAAGATATTTTGTAAATCTCCTACTGTAAATATATCAAAACTTAATTTTTGTTTAGTAATATGCATGGCTAAGAACTTCATTTGGACAACTTTAAAGATGATTTTCTCAATATTTAGATTTTTTTGCACCCTCAGATTCCAGATTTTCTAATAGTTGTATCTCGGCCAAATATTATCCTAACAAACCATACATCAATGGAAAGTGTATTTATTCAGCTTTCAGTTGATGTATACATCTCAATATCGAAAAATTGACCCTTATGACTGGTTTTGTGGTCCAGGGTCACATTTGTTCTAATGGCTGATTGTCACCAGAATTGTGCTTTAGTCTTTGTTTATCTTTCAGGAGAAGAATTTCTTGCAGATGGTGAGAGATGCTGGCAGTCCTGGCATACAGAGGCACTTTGTGAAACCAGAAGCTCTTAGAAGCATGGAGACCCGCTATGAGCAAACTCTGGCTGAGCTCGGCAACGTTGTGAAGGTAAAAGCAAAGCTGCAGAGCTGCCTGAGACCTTATTAGCAGGTTTTCCAGACATGGACTAAGCCTGTTCCTCAATTACGTAAGTGATTCTCCTGTAGGACAAGGCTTGATGTTTGTCTGGGGAACCTGAATGATGTAAGTTTATACAGCAGGGTTGTGCAGAATTGCAGTTCAATAAAAACCCACATAGGGAATCTAATTAGATTTACTACTTAAATCATTGAAAGTTAATTTGTTCTCATTTTATTCTAAATATTGTTAATTTTGAATGACTTTGCTACTTCATTCACTTAGGTTTTATATAGACTTTTATTTAGACATATTTATAATTAAAAATAAACTACAACTGACAGCACCTGCAGCCGCAGAATTCCCATCACATTATTTTTTAAATTCCCTTATAAAGTTAAATATTGAAATCATGAAATAAAATAAAAATGGAATCTTCTGATATATAAATATATAAAAAAAAATATATAAGTATAGGTGTGTGGCTCAAGGCTTTGGGGTAAATTAGAGCATTTGGGGAATGATTGTCCATAAATAAGTCATTTCAACACAATTGTGTAGTTGGCATTTTAAATATTGAGTATTTTTGTCATCTAATGTTTATATGGTTACATAATACTGATAGAATGTCTTATTAAAAACTAAAATATAGCATTTTTTTTATTCTACATCCTTAAATTAAAAAAGCAGAGTTTTGCTACCTTAAATTCAGGAACTGAATAGGAATTCAAGAAGCATTCTCTGTTCAATTCTGAATTGTGCACTGTAAAAAATTTTTTTTTTTAAATTTTATAGGAAAAGATTGGTAATTGGTTAACTGTGAAGTTACCTTACTATATATGGTTTTAAAAAACTGTAAATGGTTTAAATTGCAATTATATGTAATTTGATAAAAAAAAATCAAATTGTACAATTAATTATAATGTCACATAAGTTGTTTCTGGAAGTAAAAACTACGAATTGTGCATCTTATGGTGGAAAAAACAGTCAAATGGCATTCCTAGGCAAATTAAAAACACAACATGAGTTTATATTTAAATAATTTAGTTTCTTATTTTTATCATCAGTAATGTACATTTGGGTGTTTTGTGTTACTTTTTTCTGTCATTTAATGTTTATTGCATTATTTTTGTGTCATGTGAGTTACGCTGATGGTGTTTTGCCATCGGTTTATGACCATGTGAATTGTCAGTATACGAGTTTTTGCCACATTTATGTATAGGCCACTTAAGATGACCTTTGATTCATCATGTGGCTTTCTGTTGTAATATACCATCTGTATTATCATGGTGTTATCTGTACATTTTAGGTTTAAAAAAAGCAGATCTTGGTAGTAGCTTTGCAGTAGCAGTATATTAAGATTACATCACATAATTAAATTAATGGTTATAAGCGGAAAAATATATACAGGCACCAATATGCCAACCCCCATATACTATAAATATTGTCATCATATTTTTTACAGAGAATTTGTGGCAAACACAGCTGCTATGTTTTACCGTAAATGTACCAAAATATTTTTACAGTGTGCTCAGCCCTGTTACACAGCCACTATCGACTCAAATGTATCTTAAACACAACTCTACGTTTTCTACTACATTGTTGTGCTTTAAGCTGTAATGCTAATATTGATACTTCTTTGTTTTTAAGGAGGAAAATGCGAGGAAGCGTTTCTGAGGTGGAACTGACCTGAGCTGTGCATCTGTTTGTTTAAAAATGTTTCTCAAAAAAAGTAATGTCTGGACTGTAATGAAATGAGCTGCAAATGTTTTTTTAATAAAATGTAAAAATCCTTTCTAATTAAAATGTTACATTATATACCCCTTTAAAGGAGTAGTTCACTTCCAGAACGAAAATTGTCATCATTTACTCGCCCTCCACTTGTTCCAAACCTGTATGAGTTTCTTTCTTCTGTTGATCCGAACAGTTGATGAGCACCATTGACTTCCATTGTATTTTTTTTCCTACTATGGAAGTCAGTGGTGTGTCTATGGAAGTCAGTGGTGTGTCTATGGGAGTCAGTGGTGTGTCTATGGTGTGTCTATGGAAGTCAGTGGTGTGTCTATGGAAGTCAGTGGTGTGTCTATGGAAGTCAGTGGTGTGTCTCTGGGAGTCAGTGGTGTGTCTCTGGGAGTCAGTGGTGTGTCTATGGGAGTCAGTGGTGTGTCAATGGGTGTCAGTGGTGTGTCTATGGGAGTCAGTGGTGTGTCTATGGAAGTCAGTGGTGTGTCTATGGGAGTCAGTGGTGTGTCTATGGTGTGTCTCTGGGAGTCAGTGGTGTGTCTATGGTGTGTCTCTGGGAGTCAGTGGTGTGTCTATGGTGTGTCTCTGGGAGTCAGTGGTGTGTCTATGGTGTGTCTCTGGGAGTCAGTGGTGTGTCTATGGTGTGTCTCTGGGAGTCAGTGGTGTGTCTATGGTGTGTCTCTGGGAGTCAGTGGTGTGTCTATGGTGTGTCTCTGGGAGTCAGTGGTGTGTCTATGGTGTGTCTCTGGGAGTCAGTGGTGTGTCTATGGTGTGTCTCTGGGAGTCAGTGGTGTGTCTATGGTGTGTCTCTGGGAGTCAGTGGTGTGTCTATGGTGTGTCTCTGGGAGTCAGTGGTGTGTCTATGGTGTGTCTCTGGGAGTCAGTGGTGTGTCTATGGTGTGTCTCTGGGAGTCAGTGGTGTGTCTATGGTGTGTCTCTGGGAGTCAGTGGTGTGTCTATGGTGTGTCTCTGGGAGTCAGTGGTGTGTCTATGGTGTGTCTCTGGGAGTCAGTGGTGTGTCTATGGTGTGTCTCTGGGAGTCAGTGGTGTGTCTATGGTGTGTCTCTGGGAGTCAGTGGTGTGTCTATGGTGTGTCTCTGGGAGTCAGTGGTGTGTCTATGGTGTGTCTCTGGGAGTCAGTGGTGTGTCTATGGTGTGTCTCTGGGAGTCAGTGGTGTGTCTATGGTGTGTCTCTGGGAGTCAGTGGTGTGTCTATGGTGTGTCTCTGGGAGTCAGTGGTGTGTCTATGGTGTGTCTCTGGGAGTCAGTGGTGTGTCTATGGTGTGTCTCTGGGAGTCAGTGGTGTGTCTATGGTGTGTCTCTGGGAGTCAGTGGTGTGTCTATGGTGTGTCTCTGGGAGTCAGTGGTGTGTCTATGGTGTGTCTCTGGGAGTCAGTGGTGTGTCTATGGTGTGTCTCTGGGAGTCAGTGGTGTGTCTATGGTGTGTCTCTGGGAGTCAGTGGTGTGTCTATGGTGTGTCTCTGGGAGTCAGTGGTGTGTCTATGGGGTGTCTATGGAAGTCAGTGGTGTGTCTATGGAAGTCAATGGTGTGGTGTTCAACTGTTCGGACACCAACATTTTTCAAAATATCTTTGTTTGTGTTCAACAGAAGAAAGAAACTCATACAGGTTTGGAACAAGTGGAGGGTGAGTAAATGATGACAGAATTTTCGTTCCGCAAGTCTTCTCCTTTAAGAGCCGTAAGAGACTCTTAGTAATGCCCTTTCAAGTATAAAAAACTACATGATTGAGAGGTGTGTTTCTACACCAAACACACTTTCACCAGTCCCAAGGATGAAAATCAGTTCTTGTTGTTTTCTTTTCAGTATGGTTTGTTCACACATCCTTTAATAGCTGCAGGTTTGCAGGGCCAGACTGTCCCAGACTAGCTTTCATGTTACACGTTAGGTTGGACACGGAAGGAACTGAGGGCTGTGTCTCATTAACTGGTTTACTGGGTCACTAAGTTTGGAGTCAAAAGTCCAAATACACAAATTCCTGCTTTCTGTCTTCAACACAAATATCCTGTAGTCATTTTAACGGAAAGGCTGAACTTCATAAATGTCAGTTTGGAGCTGTTATAGCGTATTTCAACTATTTACCTACTTTACAAATGAATGCAGTTTTATTTGGACTTTTACGTTGTGAGAACCCATAACATGGACATGTTAAATTAACGAAATATGGCTGATGGAATGTCAAATATCTTTTTAGTAAGCCCATATTTAAGTTGTACAATTTAACAAAATGTTATATTTATGAGATATGTCTGCCACCACTTGCATATTTAAAATGCGAATGGTAAAAAGGCACAATAATATGTATAGTTACATGAGGGCAAAGGGGGGAAGTGTCTATTCTTACCTGTAGTACCTCAAAAACCGCTTTAGGCGATGAATCCGGCGTTCCCTCTGAACAATAGTAAAGCCCAAGGTGCGCATGCGCGTTGCGCTTCAATGCGAAAACTGCGGTTTCTTGCGCCTTCATCCCGGAAAGACTTGAATATCGGTATGTCCATGCTTCATCTCTTTTCCTGACGAGACCTGCTATATTTAACGCCGGTAAGAACAATTGGACACTATTACTAATATATAACATGTGTCTGCTATAAAGAGAAAAAGTGTTATGATGATAATAGTAACAGTAGCTGTATTAGCATGCATGCTACCAAAACAAAAGCAGTTTCATACTAAACTGATTTAGATTTTAAATGGGTTTACACCATGTTACTTCATTGCATTATTATTATATTTCATTGTATTATTATATTTTCTCACTCCTTTTGATCGTTCGCACAGTATATATATTTTCAATTTGAAAGGCACGGTAGCAGTACAGTAGTAACGTGTAAAGTCTCTATTTAACATGATTAATAACACGATATGATCTAACACAATCCTCCGTTTGATCCTGCATTGCATCCCGTGCACAAGCACACTCGCTGTTCCTGGAGCATTTGTTTAGTGGTGATGCCGGTAAAAAGTGCAGACAGAGTTAATTAAGGTGGTTTGGAAAGTTCTTTGAGGATATATATATGTATATATGTGTGTGTCAAAGGCGAAAGAAGACTTTATTCATTGGCTCAAACTGAGTAAAATCTGCAATTTTGTGCAGTTGCTAATAATTAAATGGGCAAGATGAAAATTAAATGTGAATTGTAATGTAAGTCATTGAGATCTTTATAGCAGTATGGTAGACTGCATAATTGCATATTAATATAATTTGTCATTCTGTATCTCCCAAATAATGTCTTGGTAAGATGATATTTAAATACTTAGTTTTATGATCAAAGCTATGTAGTTTTTATTGTGGAGGCAAAACATAAAATGCAATGCAATACAACAAATTGCGTACAAGAGGTTTTACCGCAAAGTTTTAATATGATAAAGACAGAATCATGTTGATAATTTAGAGGCTGTAGAAATGTAATACAGCAGGCTTTATAGGGTTAACAATTGCTGCATTTTTGTTGTCCGCCTATGCAAAACAGTTGAGATGTTCATTAATGGTTAAAATGCATTGTCATCATTCTGCAGAATGCTTCTGCTTCAGTCATTTACATCTGGGGAATATTTATTTGGGAGAAATTACCTTTGCACACTTCCGTAATGGTGTAAACCAGGGCTGCCCAAACTCGGTCCTGGAGGGCCCGGTGTCCTGCAGAGTTTAGCTCCAACTTGCCTCAACACACCTGCCTTCAAGTTTCTAGTATGCCTAGAAAGAGCTTGATTAGCTGCTTCAGGTGTGTTTAATTGGGGTTGGAGCTAAACTCTGCAGGACACCGGCCCACCAGGACCGAGTTTGGGCAGCCCTGGTGTAAACGTTTATAAAAATAATAATAATTAAAGAATAACAATTTCAGCAACAAACTAATGAGATTAATGAGAAATCTTGCCAGTTGGCTATAAACCAGTGCTGTGATCAACAATACATTTGCATCATATGTAAAATATTGTTTGCTTAAAAAAATAAAACTTGTGTTGATGTTGAAGCGCACTTTTACCATGAAATCACATCTCAACAGTTTGATTGAATTTCCCAAAATATATTAGTCAGTCACCAAACCTGGTTCAGTAAGTGTGATTTGATCTATTCAGAAATTCTGTGAAACAAAGTCATGCTCGTCTTTGAAATATGCATGAAAACAATGCTCTGTTATGAGCAGTTTCACTGCTGCTACATCCTGACATGATGCTGATGAAAACTGTATATGCTTGAAAACTGCATTGAGTTTTATATGCTTAATACAGTGCTGTCTATGTTAGACTCTAGGCTATGAAGACTATCAATGCGATCTAGATTAGGCAGCTCACCAGGTTTTAATGCCCAAAAATGCTATCCTTATAGACAGGTATGTTATAATCCCCAAAAATGCAGTTTGACGACTATAATGCCTCATGCACTTGGTTTTGAGACAGAGCTTTATTTTTTTTCACTTATTTCATTTTAGTTTTTACACTTATGTTTCTTTGTTGTAATTTTCTGTATTACGTGGCTATAAATGTGCTTGTAAAATACGCTATATAAAGTTTGCGCTTTCTTTTTCAGAAACCCGTTTTGAGGTGTTTGTGGGTCTGTGACCGAGCATGATGGGTGCACTCGGGAACGGTCGACGTGGCGGTCGCTCTCCGTCTTTGCTGGTGGGGGCTCTCATCGCCTGCGTCCTCCTGCTCGGCTTCAACTACTGGGTCTCGAACTCGAGAAACGTCGAGCTGCAGGTTTGACACTCTGAGTTTAGATGTAGTCTGTGGCAAGTGATGGTGTGAGTGGCTGTTAACTGTAATTTGCTTTGTGTTGTTCTCCAGAGCAGGATATTGGAGATGGAGGACCACATGAGGCAGCTGGCTGCAGACAGAGACCGAGAGCAGCAGAGCAAGCTGAAGGCCGAGGAGGAGACGCGCAGACAGAACGAGCAGCTGGAGTTAATGGAGGAAACACACCAGAGACAGCAGGAGAACGCTCTCATCACCTGGAAACACGAAAGAGTATGAAAACACTCATCTTACACTCACTCACAGCAGTTCAGGTGAAAACTCCGAGCTACTGATCATGCGGTTCTTGGTCGTTATTTAAAAAATGCATTATTTTTATTATAATGAATCAATTATAATAATTATTTTATTATAATAAATAAAAGTCAAACGTTTGGAATAATTAAAATGTTTTAATTATGGCTGTCAGTTTAACGCATTAACTTAATTAATTAGTTATGAAAAAATAACGGGATTAAAATATTTTAACGCAGTTAACACACTGGCCCCGCCCCCAGACCTGTACGTCATATGTACACTTCATAAAGTTGACTGTTGACAAATATGATGCAGGGCAACAACTCCATAAATGCAGATATGCCCTAAAATTCTAGATTTTGGGGCAAAAAATGCTCCTGTATGAGTTTTTGTCTCATATTTATATCATATGATAAGCGATATCACGAGCAGCGAGAGCAATATCACAAGTACTGTTTGTCTCGAATGCAAATGTGATTTTATACAAAAGTTAATTAAATAAGTTAATATTGTGTTATATTTAAAATACAATGGTGTCTGTTTTTGCTCAGTTTTGCCAACAAAAATATTACATATAAAGCCACAGCAGAATTGTTGTGTGTCTCCGAGCAACACAGCGGTGTTTAGTTTCTGAATGAATCCACGTTTTGAACGAATCGTTTGAATCAATGATTCATAGACCCATTCATAAAGAGAGCCATTTACTGAATTCCTGGCAGTTTGTTTTGATATTATTTTATTTTAGGCCTATATTATAAACCTAATAAATAATTGACCTTGTTTTTTAATGGAGTCTCTTATGCTCATCAGGGATGTATTTATTTGATTGAAAATACAGGGGAAAAAAACTGTAATATTGTGAAACATTATTGCAATTTCTAATATTGGTTTCCTATTTTAATATACTTTAAAATGTAATTTATTCCCGTGAAGCAAAGCTGAATTTTCAGCATCATTACTCCAGTCTTCAGTGTCACATGATCCTTCGGAAATCATTCTGATATGCTGATTTATTATCAGTGTTGAAATTTTGCTGCTTAATATTTTTTTTTTGGAACCTGTGATACTTTTTTCTTTGATTAATGAAAAGTTAAAAAGAACAGCATTTATTCAGAATAGAAATATTTTCTAAAAATATAAGTCTTTACTATCACTTTTTATGCATTTAACACATTCTTGCTGAACAAAAATATTAATTTCTTTAAAAATAATAATAATAATTACTGGTCACAAACTTTTGAATAGTAGTGTATATTGTAACACAAAATTAATATTTTGAATAAACACTGTTCTTTTTAACTTTTTATTTATCAAAGAATCCTGAAAAAATATCACAGGTCCCAAAAAATATATAAAGCAGCACAACTGCTTCCAACATTGATTATAAATCAGCATATTAGACGGATTTCTGAAGGATCATGTGACACTGAAGACTGGAGTAATGATGCTGAAAATTGCTTTGCTTCATAGGAATAAATTATATTTTAATGTATATTAAAATAGAAAACTTTTATTTTAAATTGCAATAATATTTCACAATATTAGCCTATTTTATGAAATAATATTCAGTATTTTAATCAAATAGATAGAGCCTTGATGAGCATAAGAAACTTCTTTAATAAACATTATTGATCCCAAACCTTTGAATGGCAGTGTATTATACTGTTAAAAAAAAAAAATTCTCAGGTAACCTGAAATGTACACAAATAGCACATTAAAGTTAAAAGTTACACACTTTTTTTTGTGTGCGCGCTGTACAAGTCTGGTATAAAGAATGCTTTTGCTCAGGTGGCCGAAATGTACGCCCAATAGAGAAAAGTTTTGCTCAGCAAGAAAAAAAATTAGAGATTATTTCATGTAAAAAAAAAAAAAGAGGAAAAACTTTAAAGGGATAGTTCACCCAAAAAATTTAAATTAGGTCATCATTTACTCAAACCTGAATGACTTACTTTCTTTTGTGGAACATAAAAGAAAGTATTTTGAAGACTGCTGGTAACAAAGCTGTTTTGGTTACTGTGGAGGAAATTTTATTTCTATCTGAAATATTAATATTATTTGCTTCACTGTACTAAAGAGTATTCTTTAGACTGTCTCTGAGTGCTTCAGTTTGCTTTAATGTGCTTGAGTTTTTGATGAGCTGAGAGATAACAGGAGACAGAAATTTTAGTTTAGTTTCTTAGACGTTGTAGCGAATCAGCTCCTGGGGAAATATGAATAATTAATCATAACTAGTTATAATTAATTATAAATATTTAGATCCCCTGTAGATATTTACTTGACCTCTCAGGGTCAACTGTCTGTCAGTTCTAAGAACGTTAATTTCCTGGTTAAGGGAAATAACTTTCTTACTGTACAACTCTACACATAGCCTGTAGCATAAATCTGCATGATTAGGGACTCCAGTTATGAGCAAACAATGAACAACGTCAAGTGTGATACAAGTAAGACTTTATTAACTACATAAACACTTAAACTAGTCTTAACAAACTACATAAACACTTAAACTGGTCTAACATACACATACACGCACACGCACACATACAGTTGGTATAGGAAAGGGTTAAAGCTTAAGCAGTAAAGAGGAGAAAAACCAGTTATATCAGCCTTAGTTGCCATGGAACCAGAGGCCTGTTCTGCTTTCCTGAGGTGTTACGCATTTCAGGGGAAGGGTCCATAGGTCCTCATATGGCTTGTTAACTGAGGGGTGTTACAGAGTATTTGTTAAATCTAGCTAACAAAATATATATTGTGTGTTTGATTGATCCAGACGCTACAACGTCCTGGCTACTTAGAAAATGATTTGCATTAAAGGGATAGTTTACCCAAAAATGAAAATTTGATGTTTATCTGCTTACCCCCAGGGCATCCAAGATGTAGGTGACTTTGTTTCTTCAGTAGAACACAAATTATGATTTTTAACTCCAACCGTTGCAGTCTATCAGTAGTATAATTCATGGCAATGGTAACAAAATCTATGAGAGTAAAAAAAACATGCACAGACAAATCCAAGTTAAACCCTGCGGCTCGTGACGACACATTGATGTCCTAAGACAAGAAACGAGTGGTTTGTGCCAGAAACCGAACAGTATTTATAAAATTTTTTACCTCTAATACACAACTATGTCCAACTGCATTGTCCGTGCAAGCGCCGGAAGTGATCTCTCGCTCGTATACGTCACTCATTGTTTACACAGTGCACAGTCATTGTAGGTACGACGGCTAATCAAAATGGTACTTACTTGCACTTATCCGGTGTGACGAGAGGGGCGGGGCCGAGAGCCGTGGGAACAGAGCGAGGCCGGTAGAGTAATTGCGAATGCGCGACACCTGCACCACTCACCGGTCTCGAGTCTCACGGAGGAGCTCCCGAAGGATACAAAGGAGGAGTGACGACAGGGAAAGACGAGAGAGGACCAGGCCTGGATTTTATTTTGTGTTTTGGTTTCGTTTGTGTGCGTTTATTTTGTGTTTATTTTATTATTAAAGTTTTATTTAAATGTTCGCCGGTTCTCGCCGCCTCCTTCCCGACCTACAAACTTTGTTACATCCGGATTGTTCAAACTGATGTTCATGTTCATATGTTCATTATTTTTTTCATAGTTTTTTTTTTTCATGACATTTCCAATTCTAGAAATTTAAAATGAATGGCCTATTACACAAAGCCAGTTTCCGTGATTACCCAGGTATGTTTCGTTTGAGCAGTGTTCATGACCATAGTAACTTAAGCTACAAGGCTAACCTGTTCTGGAGCTGGTTTTATTCTGGGTAAGAGATCATAAACCAAAACTGGACTAATCAACTGTGAGCAAAGGGACATATATCTGACACAACAATGTGACACTCCCTGTATTTCATAAACCGAATTAAAGCACTTCACAGTGAAAGAATTTTAGAGACAAAGTCATCTATCCTTTGGTGTTAATATTATTGCAAAATTTGCTGTTAACAGATCCTCCTTCATTGTGCTCAAATTGGGACGCTAGATGGTGCTATAGGGTTATATAACAGAAATGTAATGTGGGCATCACTAGGTAGGTATTGATGGCAAAAAAATGCCTAGGTTGACATGTATGCTCTAATATCTGAAAATGCTCTCTACATAGGCTACCTAGAAAAACTACTATATAGGCAGATATTCTGTTATGCTCAAAAATGCTGTCTACATAGCAGCTCACTAGGTATTGCTGTCTATATTAGCAGATCTGCTATTATAACCAAATTTGCTCTTTAGGTAGGCTGGTCACTATGTTTTGATGGCCAAAAATGTCATATTGGATATGCTAGGTGTATGTTTTTAGTTCCAAAAGTATTTTCTCTGTCATAGGAGAATCTGAAGCTCAACATTTCCTCCAGTGCTAAAACAATGCAAGACATGAAGAGTAAGTGTCTACCTCATATGTGTTCTATTGTATGTGCTCTATGATGCATATCTTTTTTCCTTCACATTACTGTTGATTTTCTGTTTCTAGATCGAATGAAGTCATTAATGGAGAATGTCAATAAAATGCAGAGCGAGCTGAAATCCTGTCAAAGTAACATGGACACAATCAGTAAGAAAGCCACCAGTGAAATGTAGGTTCATTCTGAATGCTCTAATCTACAATACAAAAGACATTACATTCCTTGATCAGTGGGATAATAGCTGTGTGTGATGGGATTGTGCAGGACTCAGTGTAACAAACAAATTGAGGCCGTGAAAGAGGAATGCAATGCAAAAATCGCAGCTGCCAAACTGGAAAAGCAAAAAACATCTGAAAAAAATGCTCCACAGGTACAGCAATGCGAAAAAGTGTCCTTAAATGCCTCCTTTATAGTGATTATCTTTTTTGGTGTCTCTTTCCCCCTTTCCACTGACACAATCTCTGGCCTTCACAGAATGCTGATGGTTCCATGCAGAAAGTCTCTGTTTCGAAAGCCAAATTTGATGTTCCTGCTACAAATCATTCAGATAAGAATGCGGCAGAACCTCCAAAAGGCAAACCAGATGTGGATTCACAGTCTATAAAGGATGCTCACATCCAAACCAATGAGTTAGTTGTGGAAAAGTATGAGGAAGGTATGAGTTGCTTGTTTAAGTCTTCTTTGTGGTTTCTAGGTGGTTGGTTACTGGCTTGAGTCCCTTATTCAGTGCAAGTCAGATCACTCAGAAGAGTAATAGCAAAGCTCTCCTCAAAAAAAAGAAAAAACACGATTTTAGATTTTTCATGCTAGTTGCACAATGTTTTGATTTTATCTTGAACGATTTATCCATGCATGTTTTCTTTATTATTATTATTATTCTTTCTTTCCTTTTTTTTTTTTTTACTTTTTAATGTTTAATAAAAATTTCATAACGCAGATATTCTGGTGAAATGGCAGACTTCTCTCTTCTGATAACGTATGCCCAACTTTTCCAGTTATTTTGTCTGCTTAAACCCCATCCCTGCAAGCCTTATGTTCATCTGCCTTTTTTTTCCAGCCCAACCTTCACACCTCAAAATCCATTTATCATTTAATGCTTAAACCTTTCCATGTTTTCTGATAATCTCTCAGTCTCACACTTGGATGTAAATCATAGTACAGAAGAAAAGATCTGTCGCTACCTCCATTAAATCATGACTTGCAACCTCTGGCTAAAATACAATTGGCGCGCTAGTGGCAGTTGTAATGAATTAGAAATTTGCTCATTTGCTTGAACAGTTGCGTACTGTTTTGTCACACAAAATGTAAACACATTCAAGGCTCAAATCTATGGAAGCCCGTTTCCGCCACTAAATAAAAAAGGTAATTGCAACTTTTCATCTCGCAGTTCTGGCTTTTTTTTTCTCAGAACTGCGTGATACAAACTCGCAATTGTGAGTTAAAAAGTAATAATTGCATTACTCGCAATATTAAACTCGCAATTCTGAGAACATATCAGTCTTCCCCCTCCCCCCTCAAAATTGGACTTTAACTCGCAATTGCGAGTTTATATCACGCAATTCTGACTTTATAACTCGCAATTCTGAAAAAAAAAGTCAAAATTGTGAGATAAAAAGTCGGAATTATCTTTTTTTATTCCATGGCAGAAACGGGCTTCCATACAAATCACATCCAAAAATTCTACATCTGCAGAGAGTCCGAACTTCACACAGCCAACCATGCGACTCTCCATTGTTATTAAGTGACTTTGGGTATATAGTCTGTCATTGTAACCAAAACCGTGAAAATGTGGTTTTAGGTTTCCATAATATCACTCTTATTAAATGTGCCCCCTTAAACGCTGTTCACACCAGTGACCGTAACATACTCGGTTACTAACGTAAGCTTGGTTCCCTGAGATTCGGGAACGAGTACTGCATCTTGCTTAAGATGCATATGGGAAAAAAGCCTTTTTTCTCCTGAACTGAAGCCTTCTTTCATTCACGCAGTAAAACTGCACAGCTATTGGTTCGTGCAGAGCTTAAAAAACAAACCAATGTCTTGGCAGCGGAGCTGCACAAGCCTATGGCGACAAAGCCTGCCAGAATAGGCGGGGCATCTGGCTATATAAGCAGGCGCTCGCCACAGGATTCTCAGGGTTACTTCGACTGAAAGCATGACTGAGTCGTGCAGCATAGCACGTCAAGCAACGCAGTACTAGTTCCCATATCTCAGGGAACCGAGGTTACGTTAGTAACCGAGTACGTTCCCTTTCGATACTTCACTCGTACTGCGTCTGCCACAGGATTCTCAGGTTTACTTCGACTGAAGCGATGACTGAGTCATGCAGCTACATAGCACGGCAAGCAACGCAGTACTCGTTTCCGTATCTCAGGGAACTGAGGTTACGTTAGTCACTCGTACTGCGTCTTGCTTAAGACAGATATGGGAACAGTCCAATCACGCCGTGCTAATGTAGTGTAACGACTTAAGGTATAACTTCCATAAGCAACCAATGCTTATAGAGAAGTCAACAATAACCCAAGGCTAAAACGGGCTGAGCTTTCTAGGTCACACCCGGCCTGGTTAATCGTTCCAGAGTATCCCCCGTACTCCAATGGGGCATTGGAGGCCCAAGGAAGAGTACGCTAGAGAGATGGCGTCTACTATCCATCTAGAGAGTCTTTGCTTCATAACTGGAAACCCCTTCGTGCGGTTTACCGAAGCTGACAAAGAGTTGTTCCGATCGCCTATAGGGAGCGGAACGCTCAATATAGATTCTCAACGCTCTGACGGGGCAGAGCAGAGATAGCTCTCTGTCCTTTTCAGTTGGAGGAAGCGCGGAGAGCGTAATTACCTGTCCTCTGAAAGGAGTGGAGAGCACTTTAGGTACGTAACCGTGCCTTGGTTTCAGGACATTTTTAGAGTCGTTAGGCCCGAATTCCAGGCAGGCAGGGCTAATTGAGAGCGCCTGCAGGTCTCCTATTCGCTTTACTGATGCTAGTGCTAGAAGCAGAGCAGCCTTCAGCGATAGCGACCTAATGTTGGCGGACTGTAGCGGCTTGAAAGCGGGGCCCTTCAGCACAGTGGGCAGGTCCCATGCAAAGATGGTAGGGGGACGAGGCGGATTCATCCTCCTTGCACCCTTCAGGAAGCGGATGACTGCGCTATTTCTGCCCACCGATCAACCCTCAATAGGGACATGAGAGGCCGCTATAGCTGCCACATAGACTTTGAGCGTGGATGGGGAACGACCCTTATCCAGCAGCTCTTGTAGAAATGACAGCACCTCTGCCAATTCGGAAGTGAGAGGGTCTTTGCCGCGGTTTAGACACCAGGTGGAGATAAAAGACCACTTTAAGGTATAGAGGCGTCTCGTAGATGGAGCTCTAGCCTCCGAGATTGTGTTTAAGACTCGCTCTGGGAGGCACAAAGTCTCCCGTCAAGCGGCCAGAGGTGCAGGGCCCATAGGTTGGGCCAAGGATGCCATAATGTCCCATTAGCTTGAGAGAGGAGATCCCGTCTCAGTGGAACAGGCCAAGGGGCTGCTATCAATAGCTGAGTCAGCTCTGATAGCCACAGCTGGTTCATCCAAAGGGGTGCTACCTGGAGAACCCTGTGTTTTTGTTCCCTCACTCGCCTGATTACCTGTGGGATCAGAGCGATCGGGGGGGGGAAGCATAGAAAAGGAGGTTGGGCCAATCGTGGGCCAACGCGTCCCTGGTCTTTGATAAATAAATTTGGCAGTGAAAGTTGTCTTCTGAGGCGAAGAGGTCTTCCTCAGCCTCGCCGAAGATCTCCCAGATCTTCTGAACCGTTTGCGGATTGAGCGTCCACTCCCCTGAGGAGACATTGCTCCTTGATAATATGTCTGCTCCCTGGTTCAATTTGCCCGGTATATGTGCTGCCTTTAGCGAGCGCAGGTTGGGTTGAGCCCACTCTAAGAAGCGCTCCACCAGCATGAAGAGGCGCTTTGATTTATGTAGGACACAACCGACATGTTGTCCGATCGGATTAACACATGGTGCCCTTTCAGGACTGGCAGGAAGAACTGACAGGCTCGACATACTGCTAGCATTTCCAGGCAGTTGATGTGGAAGCCTTTTTCCGCCTTCGACCAGTGGCCGAAGGTCGGTATGCCCTCGCACAGCGCCCCCCCCAACCTGAGTTGGAGGCGTCTGTCATGACGACTGTCCTTCTGTGAACCATCCCCATGGCCACGCCCTGTTCCATCCAGCGGGAGTTCTTCCAGGGGGTCAGGGCCAATACACAGGCCTGACTCACCCTGATATGCAGGCATCCGTGACGCCACTCATGGGATGGAGCCCGTGGTTTCAACCAGCGCTGAAGACCCAACTGTAGCACTGGAGATGCTGCTGCCATGAGGCCCAGCATCCTTTGAAACTCTTTGAGAGGGCGAGCGGTACCGATCTTGAAGGAGGTCTCCAGCCTCCGTATGGCCAGAGCTCATTCTGGCGTGACTACAGCTTTCATTTGGGCTGAGTCGAAGATTGTTCCCAGGAACGAGATTCGCTGGCTGGGAAGCAATGAGCTCTTGGCAAAATTGACCCCAAGTCTCAGGCACTCCAGGTGGCTGAGGAGGAGGGCTCTGTGAGATATTAATTCTGCCTCCGACTGGGCCAGGACGAGCCAGTCGTCGAGGTAATTGATAATACGGACTCCCATCTGTCTCAGAGGGGAGAGAGCCGCATCCATGCACTTCGTAAAAGTGCGGGGGTCCAGGGACAGTCCGAAGGGAAGGACCATATATTGATACACCCTCGAAGGCGAATCTCAAGAATGACCCGTGACGAGGGGCTATCTGGATGTGAATGTATGCATCCTTCAGGTCCAGGGAAAAGAGCAAATTTGCTCTAGGATCTGTTTCAGTGTAATCATCCTGAACGACCTCTTCATGATGATTACATGATACCATCTCTTTTGTGGACGAGGAAGTAACGGCTGTAAAAGCCTGACTCGCTCTGGGCTGGAGGAACCTTTTCCATGGCTCCTTTTGTCAGCAAATTCATCACCTCTGAGCGCAGGACATGGGCATCCCTGCTCTGCACTGAGGTGGGGACCACACCGCTGAAGCGCGGGGGTCTTCGAGAGAATTGGAGTGAATATCCTCGCTTTATTATCCCCATAACCCATTTCCACACTCCGTGGATGGCCTGCCAGGCCTCGGCCCGCGTGACGAGGGGTTGAATTAACTCGGGTGACTGGCCGCAAGGGGGCAAGTTTGCTCTCTTTTTGAAAATGTTTGTGTTTTATAATTTTTTCCGCTATCACAGCGGTTGAGTGCTTGGGCACATGAACGAACCCATTGTTCGCTCAAAACACATTTCCTTCTGTCCCCGGAGCTGAACGGGGTGTCAAGAGGTGTAAGAGAGGCTGCTTGAGGGGCAGTCCGGTCGTGGCGAGATCTGACCCCATCCTCTTCCTGTCTTGCAGATCAGGATGAAGCCTGAGGCGCCGGGTCCAACGCAATCTTGGGTCGGGGTCCCTGGCACTTAGGAGGAGGGTAGCGTCTGGCCGAGCGAGAGCGTCCCCACGTCTGCTGCGCTTTAGCGGTCTGAACAACTGTCTGAACAGCGGGGGCGGCAGGTGCTGGTTTCGCAGGCTGCTGAGTCGGCACAGATTTTAGGCGAGCTGAGGCAGCAGCGAAGCTGGATCGCTTAGGCAGGAAATGTTGCATAGCCTGGGACGATTTCTGTGCCTCCGTGAAGCGAATCATTCGACCGCCGGGCCAAAAAGGCCTTTGGGGGAGACAGGAGCATCGAGGAAGGGAATCTTATCATCGAGGTCCTCCATCTCCGTCAGCGTCAACCATAAATGGCGCTCGAGCACCACAAGGCTGGCCATCGATCTCCCAATCGCCTGGGCGGTGGTCTTGGTGGCACGTAGAACCAGGTCCGTCGCGCTACTCAGATCCCTGAGGGTAGCGGGGTCCAGGCCAGACTTGGAGGATGTGAGGATTTTAAAATCTAAACCCATGCTAAAATCTTTTTAAAATCTAAACCCATTAGATTTTAGCCGACTAAATTTACTGTAGATTTAGTCTATAAAAACTAAAAAAATATACAGATGACTAAAATATGACTAAAACTAAATGGCATTTTAGTCAAAAGACTATGACTAAAACTAAATCTAAATTTTTATTTATTTATTTATTTAGTCATTTATCAGACGCTTTTATCCAAAGCAACTTACAAATGAGGACAACAGAAGCAATCAATTGTAGTATTAAAACAACTAAAAACAGATCCAAAACTAAAAGCTAAAACTTATAAATACTACCTACACACATTTTTAAAAATAAAGAGATTAAATAAAAATGACACATGCATACAACAAAATTTCAAAACTTAACATTGAAATGAAAAACAAAAAATAAAGCTCAAAACAATTCAAAATATTAAAGAACAAAAGGTATGAGTATAATAATGATTCTAACATAACACTAAGCCAAACACCAAAAATAAACAACTACATACGTGTATGTACAACCACACACACACACACACACATATAGACATACACATTTATAAATTCAATATATATATTATTTCATTTCAATTTAATTTGTTGAAGTATTAAAATAACTCAAATGAAATAAAACTAAAAACTGAATAAAAGACCTACACAGACATAATAAATTCAGACATAATTTAACTAAAATTTAAATAAATAACAAATACAAATACTACAAATCAAATGACAGTAGTTTATCAGTAATCCTAAAAAATAACACTGCCAAACACACATGCTAAAAAAACAATGACAGTCAAGCAGAATCCACCTGACTCAAGCTCTAAAAGCAGCAGACAAGGTATCTTAAAGTATGGACGCTATTTTAGTTATCGTTATAGATATCACTCTTTGTTTGACCAGGCCTTCAGTCTTGTAACTTTCTTACAAAAAAACCAAATTCTCCATGTACCTTCAGTATGTTTTTTAACAATATTGTCTGCTCCTCTAAGACTCGCCCATCCCCACCTCCAAACTAGCCAATAAGAATGAGACTCTTAACAAACCAGCCAGGGAAGAAGTTCCAGAAGTAGAGGTGGGCGTCAAAGCACCGGCTTCAAGGGATGCAGGTAGAGTAATGGAGAAAATCCACCCGTCAAAGCACCACACACACACACATTACTCATTTTCTCTGTCTTCACACAGATGCTGTAATGGATGACGCAGAGATTTTAGACCCAAAGGAAGATGACATGGGGATTGGAGACGAGAAAGAGGAAGATGCCAAAATCGAGGACAGGAAAGAGGAAGACGCAGCAATTGATAACGAAGATGTCATTATGTACGACAATGAGGGCGAGATAGAAAAACAGCTCTCCAGGATTAAAGGTGCTCTTCAGTATCATGCAGAAATATTCATGATATAATGTAATTAAACTACTATTTATTTATTTTACAAACTGAGGGCTGACTTTCTAATTAATTTTCTGTGGTAATGTCCCAGAATGCTGTTTAATCTGCATTATTGTATGTCATAAGCACTTTTGTCCTATGCAATAAAATTACAAAGGATTTTCTGCTTTTACAGATGAAAATCAAGGTGCTGGTCAAGATCTAGAGGATGATGTGGCAAATTATAACGGTGATGATGACAACCAACCGGAGTCTGAGGATGGGAAACAGGCAGAGCTTGCAGACATGTAGTTCCTGATCACATGATGAGCCTGCTGACAGTAGCCATCCCTCCAGCTAAAGACTGTCACAGACTCTCATTAGTGACTGTTCTGAACCTCTCAACGGTTGGAGAGGACACCTGCTGTAAAGAATGATTTGTGCTGGGTGAATACTGCACTACTGTGTAATGAAGGATATGAGTTCAAATCTCATCCGTCTTACCAGGACAGGCATGGTGAAAACGTTCTTCTTCTAGTACTGATTTTAGGTTAAACTTGAATGTAACTACTACTCTTCTGACATCGAGCCTTTAAATGAATACATCTTGGTGAATCTTCCCTCTTAAATAAGATGCTTTGTTTTTTTTTAACAAAAGCAACAGCTGTTTTGTTACAAAAGCTACTTTATCTTGTCTTCACGGTTTGTTCTGTTTTGATGTCTAAACATTTTAGCTGCTGAAAAATGCATAGGAATATTAGATGTTTAGACTGAAAAAACACTTATCACTCATTTAACAGTGCAATCCAGTCTTTTATTTGCTGTAAAAATGTACTTTTATGTTAATGTAAATAATTGCATTTTAATTTCTTTTTAACATTTAATGTTGGGAACTGGAATTTTCTTTTGGTTTTTTTTGTAAGAAAAATGGGTTTCTTACTGAATTTCTGATCTCGTAATAAATATTTCAGATGCACTTCTGCCTACAGTGTGCATTTAATGGGTTAATAATATAATATAATAGCCTACCTCCATAAATTCCATTGAAGGTTGGACTTTGTTCAGCAAAATGAACCAAGTCTTGATTCAGTTGGAGCGTTATTTTTCAATAGTTGAGTTGTTTGAAACCCTACACATACACAATCTTTGAACATATTCTAAATTGCGGCCAAAAGATATTCTATATGACCGATTTGATAACTGACTGAAACATGTCTGATTAGTTCACCTCCTGAGTGACACATCAGTAGGCAACTTGACAGCATACACCCGGGAAAAGATGCAGGTAATAGAAAATATTTCATTTCAGTCATGTTTAAATGAGAAATGGTATTCAAGGGATAGTTCACTCAAAAATTAAAATTCTGTCATCATTTACTCACCCTCAAGTAGTTTTAAACCTGTATGAATGTCTTTGTTCTGCAGAACACAAAGGAAGATATTCTGAAGAATGTGGGAAACAGAGCAGTTCTGGGGCACCATTGACTTCCATAGTATTTTTTTCTCCTACTATGGAAGTCAATGGTGCCCCAAAACAGCCTGGTTACAAACTTTCTTCAAAATATCTCCCTTTGTGTTCGGCACCACTGACAAGATTCCGCCTTTAGATCTGGATGCCAACATTCTCCTCTTACTGGGCAGAGACATCTTACAAGTACACAAGGTCCGAGGACAGATAAGCGGCCCAGGAGATGCACCGTTTGCGCAAAGGCTTGATCTAGGATGGGTCGTCGTTGGTGATGTGTGCCTTGGAGGTGGCTCACAGAACACAAGAGGTGAGAAGCTACAAAACAGCCATCTTAGAGAACGGTCGTACGAGTTATCTTCAACCATGCAACAACCAGATCAGAGTGAAAGAGGTATTTGGTCAAGCGTCTAGACTTCAGTATCATTCAGCACCAACCTCCATCCGTGGTTCCATGACGCTCAGTGGAGACTACTTAGGGCAGACTGTCTTCGCTCGTTCTCCCGACGACCATAGACTCGCCCCATCCATGGAGGATCTAGAGTTTCTGAAGATAATGGAAGCCGAGTGCTATCAGGACAGTTCCAAAAGTTGGGTTGCACCTTTACCCTTTCGGTATCCGAGAAAGCGGCTGCCTAACAACAGGAAGCAGGTTTTCAACCGTCTTGTCTCGCTCCAGCGCTCATTGGAAAAACGACCACAGATGAATGTCGAATTCCTAGAGTTTATGGAGAAGATGTTTAAGAAGGCACACGCTGAAGTCGCCCTGCCAGTACAGCCTGGACAAGAGTGTTGGTACTTACCCCTGTTCGGTGTGTATCATCCAAGGAAACCAGATAGAATTTGTGTGGTCTTCGACAGCAGTACATCATATGGAGGAGTGCCGCTCAATGATATCTTGCTCACTGGTCCCGACCTTAATAATAGCCTGCTAGGTGTTCTTATAAGATTTAGGAAGGAACAGGTGGCGATCACTGCCGACATCGAGCACATGTTCCACTGCTTTCTCATCAAGGAGGACCACCGTGATTTTCTTCACTTCCTGTGGTACAGGAACAATGACCCTACCTCCGACATCGTCGACTACAGAATGCGGGTTCACCTTTTTGGGAATAGTCCCTCGCCTGCCGTTGCAGTGTATGGTCTGCGACAGGCAGCTAAGAAAGCAGAAGCCGACTATGGTAGTGATGCATGTAGATTCATCTACCGCGAGTTCTATGTTGACGACGCTTTGGATTCCTTCAGCACAGAGGAAGAGGCCATCAGTGTCCTAGGGTGAGCACAGAAGATGCTTGCAGCTTCTAACCTCAGGCTACACAAAATTGCTTCAAATTGACCGGCAGTCATCAAAGCGTTTCCATTTGAAGATCGCACCAAGGACGTCAACAGCCTAGATCTCTTCGTTGATGATTTACCAATACTACGTAGCCTTGGATTGCTCTGGAACATGCGCACAGATACGTTCATGTTTCAAATCAAAGATGACCAGAGGCCATTCACTCGCAGAGGAGTGCTTTTGACCGTGAACAGCCTCTACGATCCTCTAGGATTCCTTGCACCCATCACGGTTCATGGAAGACTGATACTCAGAGAAATAACTAAGCAAGCAGAGGATTGGGACACACCTCTCCCCAAAGACATGGAGACTGAATGGACTAGATGGAAACGGTCGCTCCGAGACCTGGAGGGACTCCAGATACCACGCCCTTATACGTCATTCTCCACCGCAGGTGGTCTAAGAAGAGAAATCTGTATCTTCGCAGATGCATCGGTCAAGGCAATAGCAGCCGTAGCCTACATCAAGGTGACAAGCCGCCAAGAACAGACTGAGATTGGCTTTGTCTTCGGGAAGGTGAAGTTGACGCCTCAGCCTGATCTAACCATCCCAAGACTTGAGCTTTGTGCGGCTGTTCTCGCCATCGAGATCGCTGAGATGGTAGTTTCAGAGATGGATACAACGTTCGACAGCATCGCCTACTGACTGCGGAACTAATTTCATCGGCGCTTCTCGTGAACTAGAGATGGACCAGTCGAATCCAGGTTTCAAAAGAGTGGAGGAGTACTTGGACACTCAGAGCTGCACCTGGGTATTCAACCCGCCCCACGCGTCTCATATGGGCGGCGCGTGGGAACGAAGGATTGGCATTGCCCGTCGTATTTTGGATTACATGTTGCTTGAGCAGAAAAGGTCTCATCTTTCACATGAAGTCCTGACCACCCTCGTGACCGAAGTAACCGCGATCATGAATGCCAGAACGCTCATCCCAGTGTCATCGGATCCGGAATCGCTTCTCATTCTCACTCCAGCAATGCTTCTAACCCTCAAGACAGGTTCTGCGCCTCTTCCTCCATCAGGAAGCTTTGAGGAAGTGTATCTCATCAGAGAAGAATGGAAGCAAGTTCAGGGCCTAGCAGACATGTTTTGGAACAGGTGGAAACATGAATACCTCAAAACATTACAACTTCGGCACAAGTGGCAAGGAAAGAGGCCGAATCTCCAAGAAGGAGACATGGTTCTCTTGAAAGACAATCAAGCTAACAGAAATCAATGGCCTATAGGCCTCATCACAAAAACCTTTCCAGGAGAAGATGGATTGGTTCGGAAAGTTCAAGTGGAAATTGTCAAGGATGGAACCAGAAAGATCTTTTCTCGGCCTGTTACAGAAGTGGTTTTGCTTCTTTCTCCAAAGACTGATTCC